CGATCCCGTTGCCGGTCCCCGGTCCGGTACGGGGGCAACACTGAGGGTTGCGATCCGTTGCCGGACACGGAAAAAAGACAAAAAGGCAAAAAAAAAAAAAAAAGATGACCAGTAAGAGGATCTTAACCTTTGACTTGGTGTTGTCAGCACCACACTCTCCCAGGTGCACCACAGGCCAGCCCCTTTGTAAAACCGTTTACATCGAATACTCTGTGGCTGTATAAAAGACTGAGGAAGCACTTAATTGATATGAAGTGAGCTCCAAGATAAATATTAAACTAAAAATAAAGGTTTAGGATACAGTATATAATAAAAGCTACTTTTTGTGTTTAAAAAAAGGGTGTGGAGAAGAACATGTAAATATAAATATTTGCTTGTGTGTGCAGAGACGGTATGGTCACACTGCCTACTTCTGGGGAGGGGAACGTGGGGCTGGTGGGTAAGGGGTAGGAGGCAGACCTTATCATACACCTGTTTCATCTTTGGGATTTTATACTATGTTCATATATTACCTAATCAAGATAAACAAAATACAAAGGTTTCAGATCTATAAAATCCATGGGTTGCTTTTCCTTAATCCTCTGCCTACAGGGGCAGTCCTGCAGGAGTATGACCTGCAGAGTGTGGGCCATGGGTGGCTAGGGGTGTGTGGCACACCTGGATCTCCTCGATGGTGTGCACAATGAAGGTGTCCTGCAGGTCTTCCATGGCCCCCTCCATCCAGTTGTTGAAGGGCGCAGCCCGCTTGGCATACTCCAAGTACAGCTGGTCAATGGTCTCCAGCAGTTTCTCTGTCCGCTGGAAGTGCCAAACAGAGTGGGGATGTTAAGCAGAGTGATAGCCACAATCACCCCCCATCCAATCAAGATCCTCCTGGTGAGCTCCCAGGGGCCCGGGTCTAGAAGCACAGACTAAATCAGGCAGGAAGAACAAGCTCTCCCTGGGGCACTGGGTCTGATGGGCATATAGACCACCTTGCACTGGAATCAACTGGCCTGGCCCCAGAGAGTCAGGCTTGCAAAACAGGAAAGTTCCCAAGCAGCTGGGGTTGGGCTGTTAAGAGCACCAAACACAGTTAGGGCAAGAGAGGAGGTATCTTCATCAGGGCAAAGTCCACATCCTGTGCCAAAGTGGATCTTCCAGTTAGGCCAGGGGTGAGGGAGGTCCAGGGAACCCATGGAGTCCTTTAGCCCAAAGCTAAGAGAGTCAAGAAGCAAGAAGGGGCACACACAGAAGCTGCTAGATGCGGGCCTCCATCTCCCTTGGGGCTCCTCACCTCCAGAGCCTCCCTCCGCTTCTGAGTCAGGGCCCCCAGATTGTCCCACTGGTCACAGATCTTTTGGCAACGGGCGTTGACATTGGGTGAGTCGTAATAGTCCAGCTCACTGGGGAGGGAGAAGACAAGGAAGTCAGGTGACCTAGGTTAAATCTATGGTCCGCTCTCCCTTTTCCTGGGACTAGGGGTAGCAGTGGCACCAGTGGTGCCGAAGAACCAGGGGTGCTCCCTTCATGAGACCCTCCAAGCACCCCTCCCACTCCCACCTCCTTGGCAGATTTGGGCCATAATTCCAAAAGATACAACTTCAAACACTATAATCCCAAATGCTGAAATCCACAAAGATCAAAATCCTGAAAAATCAAAATCTCTAAAGTCTTAAAATCCCTAACATCTTGGGCCAGCCCGTGGCTTACTTGGGAGAGTGTGGTGCTGATAACACCAAGGCCACAGGTTTGGATCCCTATATAGGGATGGGCCAGTTCACTCACTAGGGAGAGCGTGGTGCTGACAACACCAAGTCAAGGGTTAAGATCCCCTTACCGGTCATCTTTTAAATTAAAAACAAAACAAACAAATAAACAAAAAAAAACCCTAACATCTAAAATCCCCAAATTTACAATCCCAAAAGATTAACACCCCAAATGTTGAAATCCAATTTTAAGTTTTTTCCCCCACTATTTTAAATTGTTGGGATTCTTTTTTACAATTTGCTATGCTAATATATTTCTTTTTTGCATCATTTTCAATACTGGAGGTATAAATTATGTAAAGACTTTGAGTTCTAAATCATCTTATGCATTTTTTGCAAACTTAACTCCACAGAAGTGCATTATGATAGCACTGAATTTGAGTGTAAGCATTGTGCATGTAAGTAAAATAGTGGAAACTTCCTCAATAAAAGAAGACATGTCTTTTCTGTATGTCTGCATTTGTGAAAGATAAAATTCCTCAAGATCTCAGCTCTTTGGACAACTGGATATGTGGTGCTGAACCATCGTGGTTTTTGATCTCATCATCAAAAGACTTAGGTTATCCATCACAGTATTTCAGATGACCGCAGTCATAAAGCTGGGTGCACACAATTACCAACCATAGTGATGAAATACGTTTATACGTTTCACTTTTTCACCTATTTCTCTATGAATAGTTTGTCTGCTCATAACTCTTATATCCATACAACTGTAGCTAGTATACTTGAGTGTGCTTGCAAAAATGTATGTTATAATTGCCTATTTTATTGGATAAAGTGGCCTATGTTCTGTCAAGTTTTTATGTCTCTCAAATAAATCCCCTTTTAAAAATGTAAATAAAACATCTTTAAATAATTTTTTAAAATTACTTTCCAGAATTATATTTTTGGGATTTTGATCTTTCACTACTGTGATTTTCAGGATTTTAGATTTTAGAGATTTTGATTTTGGGGATTTCAACATTCAGAAATATAGCGTCTGAGATTGTGTCTTTCCAGATTATGATTGGCACCTTTCACTGGCTTTCAAGAGACCGGCAGGGAGGTGACCAAAGAAGGCCAGTCCTCCTGTCCAACGGTCCCCACTCCAATGAAGGCTGGAGGTGATGCCAGCCTTGACCCCCATTTTTCATGGCAGGGAGCCGCCAAGGCCCAGCAAGAAACTAGGCTTGGTCATCCTCTGGTCCCGTATGAGTTACAGGCGAGGACTGAAAGCCTGCAACAGGAAGGGAGTGGTCACAGACTCATTCCCCACCAGGAGGGACATTTGTTATCTTCTGCCTCAACTCCCTTCCTGCCCGGGCACCCTCCTCACTTCCACAGCCGCACCCCCACCTCCCACAGCAGCTGAGAAAGCTGAGCCCAGCCCCTCACGAGCTGCCAAAGGGTGGGGGGTCTGGGGACGGGCCTACTTGAGCTCCTGCGCGATGGCAGCGATCTGCTCCACGCGGTCCTGGTGAGCGGCCAGGTCACTCTCGAAGGCCTCGTGCTTCTTGAGCAGAGCCTTGATCTCCGAGAGGGTGGCTGTCTCGTAATCCTTCTGCCGCAGCATGGCCTCTTTGCCTGGGATCAGAGAGAGGGGCACACGGCTGAGCAGGAGCAGAGGATCTTCTGGGCCCTGATCATCCATCCCACAGGGCCCAGGAGCTCCGCTTCCGGGGGTATTTGCAGGAGGCATCCACCGTACAGTGATCTGCAATGTGAGAAAGCAGGTGTGCAGCCAGAACATCCAACCAGAGTGCGATCAGGAAAGTCACTACTCTGAAAATGGGGCATTTCCAGGCCATTAGAAGTGGTTACATGTGAAGGCTCTGCAGAAATATGTGGGAACCAACAGGGCATAACACCAGCTTTATAAACAGGAAACACAGCCATCTGTGCCCTCTGGTAAGACCAGAGAAAAACCAAGCCAAACACCTCAGGGGTACCCCATCTTCAGAATTCTTCCAGTCATTGTCACTGGCTCCCAGCAGCCCTGCAGTTACTCCCAGTGCCACGAGCACATCCAGTGTGCTCTGCACAAAAGCCATCGGGCCAGAGCCTTCCTGACCACTAGTGCACTGCCCTTTCCCTTTGGGGCAGGAGCATGTCTGGTATTCCTTGGATTTCTGTTTCCACCAGAGGAAAGCAGGGATGAGAAACAACTTCCCAGGACTGTTGTTTGATGATGTTCCCCAGCCACCTATGAACCACGGGCACAGGACACAGGCATACCCTCTGCATTTGCATCGTCACAGAGACGCGCAGCCACCTCAGTAACGAAGGAAGGGCTGCAAGGCCAGGAGCTAGTCCCCACACAGCATTTCTTCCTCTACTACTTGTTTTTGGTGGCTGGACTATACAGGGATCCAAACCCTTGACCTTGGTGTTGTTAACTCTGTGCTAACCAACCGAGCTAACCAGCCAGCCCTCCTTTAGTCTTTTTTCTCTAAATCAGAATAATAATATAGAAAGTTTAGAAAAAAAGTTACAGATAAGCCTATTTATGTACTTCTATTCATTCATACCTTACATAAATATTATGTTAAAAACCCTGGGGAGGTTGGTCACGGGTGTGGTTCTGTTGGTTTTAAAAGGAGAGCACATGAGGGCCGGCCTGTGGCTCACTCGGTAGAGTGCGGTGCTGATAACACCAAGGCCCCGGGTTCGGATCCTATATAGGGATGGCCGGTTTGCTCACTGGCTGAGCGTGGTGCTGACAACACCAAGCCAAGGGTTGAGATCCCCTTACCGGTCATCTTTTAAGAAAAAAAAAAAAGGAGAGCACATGAAAGTGTCTCTCTCCTCCCCCTTCCTTTCTTGCAGTGTGTGATATCCTACATCACTGAAGTCACCACCAAGGCGGCCCTCGCCATAAACGTTCCCTGGACTTTGCATTTCCCAGCCTCTGAACTGTAAGCAATATATATTGTTTCTTTACAAATTACTCAGTTTCAGGTATTTCTGTTATAAACAACAGAAATGGACTAATATAGAAAATTGGTACTAGAGAACAGGAGTGTTACTGATAAGAAATAACTGAAAATGTGGAAGTGGCTTTGGAACTGAGTATTGGGCAGAGGCTGGAAGAATTTGGAGGAACAGACTAAGAAAAGCCTAGATTCTGGTGAGGAGAGTTTAGAACATCTTAGAGACTGGTTAGATGGTGGTGATCAGAATGCTATTAAAAATATGGACTGTAAAGACCATTCTAGGAAGGTCTCATATAGAAATAAGAAAGCTTTTTGGAAACTGGGGCAAAGATCACCCTTGCTATGAACTGGCAAGGAACTTGAGGAACTTGGCTGCATTCTGTTCATGCCTGAAAGTTTTATGGAATGTGGAACTTCAAGGTGCTGACCCAGGGTATCTGGCAGAAGAAATTTCTAAGCAGCAAAACATTCGGGAAGCTGCATGGCTCCTTGCCACAGCCTATGCTGAGTTATGGCAGAAAAGGCATAACACAGGGCCAGCCCGGTGGCACACTGCTACAGTGCGCCGCTTGGGAGCGCGGCGGCGCTCCTACCGAGGGTTTGGATCCCACATATGGACCGGTTCCCGCTTGCTGGCTGAGCGAGGTGCAGGCGCGACGCCAAGGGTTGCGATCCCGTTGCCGGTCCCGGTCTGGTACGGGCGCGACACTGAGGGTTGCGATCCGTTGCCGGACAGGAAAAAAGACAAAAAGGGAAGAAAGGAAAAAAAGAAAAGGCAT